ATTACCAGATCCCTTTGGGTTCTATCTGATGCAAAAGTGTGCTTTAAATGAAAGTAAGATAGAGTGATTGGGAGTAATGAGAATGGAGAGCAAACAGCAAGCATGGCGTTGCAAGGAAGTTCACCAGGAGTGAGGACTATACATCCAGGCAGAATTGCAGGAGTGAAGAAAGCAGAATACAGCAACAGAAGAGTTGATATGTAGGAAACACATGCCAAGTTCATAGGGCAGCTGGAATGATGCCTTGGGTTTTGGTTAACCTCTGTGTACACAACAGGAAAGGAAAACCCAAAGGACCATGGGGTAAATGGGGGGTTAAAATGTTCTCAATGTTTTGCATTCCCAAGAGGTGTAAAAAGATTTGTTTTAGGCTCTGAACAATAAAAAGAGGCATGTTGATATTGCTAAAAGAATAGATGATCAATAAGCTAAAAGAGAAATTTTTAGCTTATTATAGTTCTGATCAATCTAAAAGTAAAGCAGAAAGAAATCAACTGACATCAACTATAAAAGAAGTAAATAATCCAATTAAAAGACAAAGATGGGGGCTGGAGTGATGGCTCAGCCATTAAGAGCAATTGCTGCTCTTCCACAGGACCCAGTTCCCAGCATCCATACCAGACAGCTACCAATAGTCTGTAACTCTAGCTCCAGAGGATTTGGCGCCTCTGGCCTCCACAGGCCCCTGTACTCACATGCACTCATCTACAAGGAGGCACACACACCTACATATAAATAAAAACAAATCTTTTTCTAAAGGCAAAAATGGATTGGATTTAAAAAAAAAAAGCAAAAACAAACAAACAAACAAACAAAAAAACTGGGTGTGCTTCCATTCAGGTGGCATATTTAAAATACAAAGTCACAGCCTGATGGTAATAGCACAGAGTAAAATACAGCCAGAAAAAAATGATAATCAAAAGAAATCTGACATAAATACGGTGCCATCTATGGAGCTGAGTTTTAAGGCAAGAAGCCTCACTAGAAATGAAGAGAGCACTTGACAGCAATTAAAAACCAGCACGAAAGATAAAATCTGTATCTAGCCAATAACCCATGAAGGGTTAGGAAGTGTAAACAGAGGCTAAAGAGAGAGTTAAGTGTTTTTAATGGCACCAGAGAGTTAGGACTAAGTTCTATACAACTTTTCAAAAATACACACGCCTTACTTATGTAAGGACCTTGGGGGAAATGGCAAACTCTGAACTTTATTAAGGATGCTCAGAAAATAACTGCAGAAATCCAAGTTTGGCTCTGTATTCATCAACTTATCAAGAAAACTGAATATATCATTTAACTAATGAAAATTTTACGGTAGATGCTGTAAAAGCTTTAACTGTTAATTGAAAGCAAGGTTGGTCATATCCAAATAGAATTCCGTATTATGCAGCTGTAGAAAAGACATTTGTCTGTTTCCAACAGATTGGATTAGTCTTGAAAGAATAGTAAGGATATATGATCTCACTCATATATGGAGTCTAAGAAAGGTTGCATTTATAGAAACAGTAGAATGACATTTCCTGAAGCAGGGATTTTAGGGTAAAATCTGGGCCCTTGCAGCTCCCTGTGAGCAATGTGGCAGTGGAAGAGAACTACTCAGAGATGCAGAGGAAGGGAATTTAGTCAGTATGGACACCTTGTGAAGGACAAAGATGTCCAGTGACCCCCAAGCACATCTTTGGGGTCCTGATGTGAGGTTTATGTTTCAATATAAGGTGAAGTGTATAAACTACACAGTGCTGACCAAGACATTGTACACTCAGCACTGAACAGCACTGTCCGGCTTTGGTCTGTCCTGCAAGGTTGTCTGATAAGATACCAGACCACTGAGAGCTCTCTTCCAGAGAGTCACGTTCTTTCTCTGCCTGGCACCAGGACTTTGGTCTTCTCTTTCCACCACTGGGGAATTTTGATTCATTGGCGTTCATTGTTTAAATAATCTGTTAATGGGAAGTGACGGCACATCCATCTCTTTTAGAATATTTCCTCCCTGGCAAGAACAGTTCTATTACCAGAGACAGATGGGGGGAGAGAATATGGGTTAGTTCAGGGGACCTAGTGTATGGCATGGTGTCTGCATTTACTAACTCTGAGTTTTACTCCTGTGATTTTCTCCATGATTGCAAAATAAAAAGCATTGTGGTGAGAGGATGGAGAACTTACCTATGATTGGAGTATTTATTTTACAACATATTTGTACATTCAATCACCATGGTGTACATTTTGAAGACAGTTTCACTGGTTGACTATACATGATATAAAAACAAACAAACAGGAAAAAGTTCCAGCTGGAATAAGGGACCAAGAATAGAGTCACATACAGAGCAAACTAAATCCTCAAGCCCAAACAAAACAATAGAAATAGAAACTAGAGAAGAAAAGTCAGGAAGATGTCGGTGCTGAGCCTTTTCTGGACCCAAGGTAGAACCGACTTCTGATATTTAGCATTTCTTACCTGATTGTTCCTCAGAATTCCACCTCACAGGTAGTTACAAGGTTGTGTAAACTCGACTTTTCTACATTTAACTGGCTCTACCATACTTGAGAGACACTTGAACAGACACCAGTCATCGGGTTTATGTTAGAAAATCCACAGAACAGATAGACTATAACTTCCGAATTACTCTTCTTTAACGATGACCATTGGTTAGCATCCCCATGACCATTCCAATCTGTCTCCCTCCTGGGATGACAGCCAGAAAGCTGGGGAAGACGGCCTTATTAGGTAGCAGATAAAGTACAGACTGGAGCTGAGTTGACCTGGGTGGACTCCTACGTCTAAATGCTACCATCGTGTGTGACAGGCTTATCTAAAAGATTACTTGGACATGGCTGGGTCTGTGGTAATACTCAGAATCTCTAACTTTTGCTAATGACATCATCAAGAAGCTTATCAGAGACAGGAAGTTGTTTTGGCCAAGGGTAAAAGATGACAAACTCTGGGGCTGGAGAGATGGCTTAGTGGGTACAAGTCCTTGCTGTAATGTGAGGACCAGAGTTTAAGATTCTCAGCACTTATGTAAATGTTGGGTGGACTACTTGTAATCCCAACCCTTAGGGGGCTGAGGCAGGATCCCTGGGACAAACTAGCTGACTAGACTAGTCAAATTGGCAAGCTCTGGATTCAAGTGAGAGGCCCTGCCTTATAAAGTAGAGTTAAACCGAGAAGGATACTTGACATCAACTTTTGGCCACTACATTGAATGTGCATACACATGAACCTCTGTACATGCAAACACATACCACATACATGCAAAGGAAAAGGTCTAGGTCATCACAGTTTCTGCTTAGCTCCTGGGGCACTCTGTGAAGTGAAAATAGAGTCCTTGGCTGCATGAATTACACTTGACCCTTTGTTTGTCATGTTTCCTTCTCTGATAATCTGGCTCATGGTCCTCAAACATGGGTCTCTCTCAGGAACACTCAGCCATCTAAACCTAAGGCTTCTTCAGAGTGGTAACAAGCAGCTTGGATGGTTACCTGCTGGCCCCTTTACCCTCCTGTTCCAGGTGGAACAAGTCCTGGCTTGCAGGGATTAAAGCCCTTAGCATTTTCTTGGAGAAGAAACTGCTGGCTAAAGAAGGTGTGGTGCACTGGGCAGAGAGAGAAAGGGCTTGATGCCAGAAGCCTAGAGGGCTAGTGAGTCAGACCGGTGACCCTGGAAACCCCAAGTCTTGTGTCCTGAGGTTCCCCAACTTATCAAACAAACACAATGAGATTGTCTGTGCTTCTGACCTTAAGTGATATATAAGGCTCAAAATGGAAATCAGATAAGGGTTTTACCCAAAATGCTATGTAACTTGTCATGTTGGCCTCAGAACTAAAGGATGCTCATTGAGCCCATGCTTGGTGCATATATACACCTCATTTCCGGTTTTAGACATTAGTTTTCTCATCTACAAAATGGAGAGAGTGTCACACTAATACTTGTTATTAGCAGGGAAGGAAGCAATGAACACAAACTGTGCTTGCTGTTTCTGATAGATATTTTAAAAATTGCTTCTATTTTATGTGTATGGGTGTTTTGCCTGCCTGTATGTCTGTACCACATGTATGTTCCTGGTGCCCTCAGAGACCAGAAGAGGGTGTCAAATGTCTTGGAACTGGGTCATAAGCTACCATGTAGGTGCTGGAAATCAAACTGGGTCTTCTGCAAGAGTAGCAAATGCTCTTAATGCTATTACAAAATTGTGAGTAGTATCAAATGAGTTCTGGAATTTTAACCTACCATGGAATCCCACAGTCTCTCTTAGAAGTATATAGCACACCCCATGGGTCTTAGCAAGTACAGTATTTCTGCCTGAAAAGCTTGGAGACTTTACAACAGGTCTCAGGGAGCCTTTGATTACGAACCCAGTCTGCTGAGGTGACAGGTACAATTGACTTTGCTGCCTGAGAGCTGCCCCTTTAGATCCTATTATGGTGACAGAAGATCAATACTCCAAGAGGTATGTGTAATCAGCCTAACTGAAGTCGGTTGGAACCCTTTGGTGTGGATGTCACAGCAGAGAGAAGGAAAAGAAGAAGAAAGAAAGGCCATAGAGGCATCAAGCTGCTGAAATGCCCAGCCCTTAAGCAATTGTTGCCACTTCCCTCTGTCCTCAGCTTCTGCCACTGTCTGGATCCCCTCTCGAGGCCTGTGTTATCTAGGACAAGTGTCTGTATTCTTCGGCAACCACATGTCCAGCAATGACAAAACTCAGGTTTCTGGGAGACCCAAAACTTGGAGTACTGAGCTTGGATGTAAGAAAGAACACAGCCATTCCTGACTCGGGCTCTGCTAGTGTGCTGGTTCCTAATGTATGCAAAACAATACATACAGTTGCTGTCAGGTGACATCCACGGACTTTCCTTTCCTAAAATAACTCCACTAATCATGAAGTTTGGGACATGCCTTGCAACACACAAAACAACAGACTCAAGAGTGTCAAGTTTCAGTGCAACAAAATAGAACATGTCTCCAGGGAAAGGACAAACTCCAGTTTCGAACGGCAGCTTACCTACAGATATGGTCCATACAGCAATGATTTTCAGGAAGGCCTTGGTTCTGGAGTTGAAGCGGCTATGGTGGATGGGGTTCTGGATAGCGACATAGCGGTCCAGTGAGATGGCGCAGAGGTGCATGATGGAGGCGGTAGAGAAGAGGACATCCAGGTAGATCCAGACTGCGCAGAGCTTGCTGGGCAAAGGCCACCGGTACCCTGTGGTGCAGAAATTTAGCATCAGCAAGCAGCTTCACACTTCTGGCATGTGACCTATACCCTGGGACAGCTGCTTACAGCTTGGGGAAAGAGATTACAAGACTCTCAATATTTAAACAAATAGCAAGTGTGCTTAATTACACCATGATGACACTGAGAGGTGAGTGTAGGTTTGGATGTTTCTGGTCTGTGGAATTACATTAGCAAAAGAGGAACTGTGATAATGTGACAAAATGGCTTCAAGTCTACCTCTTGAAAGTCTTTACTTAAGATACACAGTCCCCTAATGTTTTATCAAACTCAAATTTGGGGCATGTGAGAAACATTGAGGATGACGAAGAAAATCAAGGGTGTCTAGCCCTTGGAGCTTTGTCTCAGGGCAGTGCTCAGACTATGGGTGACAGCTAGTTTTCTTAGTTGGTTCCTTACAATGGGGACCCGGACCCACCTCTGGCCATTCTGATTCAGTAAGGCTGGAGCAGGCTGGAAAATGTGCAGTTTTCAAAAACTTAGAAATCATACAGCTGACTCTGATATTGGCGCCTCTCCCTGTCTGTAGCTGTGGCTTGGGGCAAAGATGCCCTTCCTCCCGCCCCTCCCCGCCCCAGCATCGCAAATAGCCAGTAGAACTTTGGGTCCAGTTAATTATTCTCTCTGTAGAGTGGCTAGAGGTGGGTCCTCAGTATCAAAGGGTTCTAAAAACTTCCCAGAGTTCCGGGCAGCAAGCCTGGCAAATGCTCTGTTGTCTGAGGAAGACAGCGGATGCCTTGATACCGCAAAGGAAGTGTCCTGTTCCTCTCTGTGTGTTTTGGGGAGCAACGAACACTTGAATAAACCGTTAATTAGTTTGGCTAACAGAATGAGCAATGATACTACATCTGCCTACGAATGGGAAAGAAAATTAGATCAGTTCTGTAGAATAGTAGAGCTCAAACTGAGGGAGCTCTCACTTATGCACAAGTCTTATCTCTGCCATGCTGCCCCCGGGAGTATTCAGAAAAGGAGCACTGCGGAACCTAAACCTAATCCAAACCTTCTAGTTCTGGTCTCAACATTTATACT